TATCGTTCATTTCGAACTTCAAACCAGCTAATGGGGTGTGGTTGGTGGCGTAATTCAATTAGTTGACAGCTACCACCAAATTTTTCTAAACCAGCGCTTCTCAACCTTTTGAGGTTCAAGGACCACTTAAAAGATGCGTGTCTCATCCGCGGACCATCACTGAAAATTTTGAAATTTGAAATATCTATTTAAAATTTATATATCTATATAATCAGTGTTGTGCAGTATTTAAATACCCAAAGTATTTAAATAGTATTTAAATACCGACTTCGGTATTTAAGAAAGTATTTAAATACCGCTTGAAAATCGGGTATTTAAATACCAATTCAATCGAGTATCTAGTATTTAAATTTTTTTAAATACTAAATACTTGTCACTTAATATTTTTTATGCGTATGAAAATCTGAAAAATTTTTTAATCGAGTTGTGTTATAAGTTACAGCTAGTTCCGATCGCTAGTTTTTTTTATATAATTTTTTTCTGTTTATCGTGTATAAGCGTAAGTGTATAGTATTAGTATAGTAATCAACGTATGACTTAAAATATATATTTATATTATTTTTATGCATTATAGTATATTATATTAATACATTTTCTAAATAATGTTTGCAATTATATTGAATTTTGGAATGATTATATTTTACGATTTTTGTGGCAAATTATTTTCGTGGCTATCTTCACGCACCTTCCTAATTTCTAAAAAATTTGTTTCCTGTCTTGCGTTTTTTTTTTATTTAAAAATTCGTAATTATGGCAGCAAGAAGCGAGGCAAATGATAATGAGACTGAAAATAATTGGTTTACCAAAGGAGTATTCAGATTATTTGAATTCGGTGAAAGAGGTATTGATGTCGTAAATAGCAACAGAGATGCAAAATTAACCGGAAAGTGTAGATTATGCAAAAAGATAAATATCAGTATTAGTGGACGCAAGAATGTTTCATCAAATTTCCTAAAACATTAAGGTAAAAGTGAACGATGTTTTATATATTCATCATAGCATTATTTAAAAGATGACAAAATAAGTACAATGTTAAAATTTTAAAATATTTCAATGTCTTGATGTTTTTACAGAATTACTTATAGTCTAATCTAATTATTTATTTTGATGCTTAAGTAATACAATGACAACAATATCAGAATTCTCAGCACTTGCAAACTTGGTAATATTATTGCTAAAAGTATACATGAATTAAAACAAAATTAAATTCAGTTTATAATGTTTAAATAAAATAATTGTGTAGATTTTATTTTATGTATTTTCTTATGTATTTTATTTTTTGGTTCTTTTTTGTATTTTCAATGTTATATGTATTTTAACTAACACTTAGTTCTACAATTTTAAATGAAAATACTTGATAGCAAAATTCAAAGAAAGATATATATAGTAATAGCTATAGATATAAAAGCAAAAGATACCTTTTGCATTATACTGTCAATACTGATGTGTTAATGTTTCTTTTCTTTCATTTTACAGAGTTGTCATCCGGCATCTCTTCAGGAACTTAAATCTGAGAACATAGAGAGGCAAACACATGCTGCTGAGTGTAGTGCCAGTAAACAACCCAAGCTGTCATTTAATAAAGTCACAATGGCTCAGTCAAAAGTCGACAAATTAGTACTGGATTACATTGTGGATGAAATGAGACCATTAAAAACAGTGGAGACACAGTCATTCAAAAACCTCGTCACTGGGTTAGTTCCATCGAATACAGTTATGTGTAGAAGAACTCTACAGGAACGTATAAACAGTGCATATGATGTAATGATAAGTAATCTGCAGTCTTCCCTCAGTGAGGCAAAGTATGTCTGCACAACAGCAGATTTATGGTCCTCTGCAAATAGATCATTTCTTGGAATGACTGTTCACTGGTTTGATGTCAATAATGATCAACTGGAACGACAATCAGCAGCTTTGGCATGCAAAAGATTTACTGGTATTCACTCATTCGATAAAATAGCTAGAGCAATCAGTAGAGTTCGTGAATCTTTCAACATAGAAGCGAAAGTTGTGAAAACCTGCACAGACAATGGATCCAACATGGTAAAAGCATTCTCAGTATTCTCTTGTCCATTTGACAATAATCTTGATAGTAACAAAGATGTGAACAATGACATGATTTCATTGCCAGCTCACAGTGATATGGATATAGGCATGACAAGCAAAGGTCATAGCCCTTCTGCTGATTCTGATGATGATTCTGTTAATGAGTTGGATGATGATGAAGCAGTCTTTGATTTAAATGTTGGTGAAACTATTGACGAATACAGAAGAGAATCGGATCTATCAGATGATGACATATGTCTTCCAGAACACTTAAGATGTTGTTCTCATACTTTAAATCTGGTTGCGACAGCAGATGCTGGCCATGCATTAGATGATAAAACGTATAAACGATTATAAAGGCAGGCAATGGCTAAGGCAGCTGCTCTTTGGAATATTACGAGTCGAAGCACCAAAGCTGCTGATGCTGCATTTAGTATACTTGGATTTCGTTTCTCTGTTCCATGCGTAACACGGTGGAATTCATACTATGCAGCAACTAAGAAGATAATCATTGCAGAAGAAAAACTGAATGATGTTTGCAAAGCTGTAGGATTACCTGTTTTTAGTCAGGCCGAAGTGTTATTTTTAAAAGAATATGTCGATGTTATGTCACCTGTAGCAATTGGCTTGGATATTCTTCAAGGGGAAAAGAATTGTGCACTTGGATATGTGCTACCTACTCTAACAGTTATGAAAAGGAAATTTTTGGATATCAATCTTCGTAGCACAAAGCCTTTACGAGATAGCCTGCTTGAAGGAATTGAACGCCGCTTTGGTAGTCTTTTTGACAGTTCTGAATTCATAATGGCAGCTGTTACTCATCCCAAATTTAAACTTGCATGGGATGATGATGGTGAAAGAAGAGCGCAGTGCATTCAGATGCTGGAGACAGAGATTAAGAAAAATTCTGATAGGATTATAGGTGAATATTCTTATTTTGGTTTATTTAAAATTTTATTGAAACGTATTGTGAGAGTTTCAATGTATAAGACTTGTATAAAATAAATTGAATTTGATTGTGTGTTTTAATTAAACTCCACTAATGTACTCTGGTAACTTTGGTACTTTTGCTAACATTTTCCATAATGGACCAGTGACATAGCTTTGTGAAAAAAAAAATTTAATACAACTGGAGAAAAGTTGTAATCTGTGTGAGTGTGATTAAATTATTATAAATTTATTAGGAACAATATAATCTTATAACTAATGTTTAAAAATCGTTTACCAAAAAAAAAATTTTAAGTTTATTTCAATTATTTATAAATTGAATCAAATTTGGCAATAATTTATTATTTTATTGCAGCTGCTACTTCAAGTCTTGCTTGTGATACTGTACCGTCAGAATCAGTTGATGACTTTTTCAATTTCACTGCAAGACACACAGAACAAGATCAAAAGTACCTTCAATATTTGAATGACGTCGACAAAGATTTATCTATGCTGAACAAACACCCTGAAATAAAGGAATTATTTCTTAGATATAACACATGTTTGCCATCTAGTGCTCCTGTTGAACGCCTTTTTAGCTATGGTTCTTTGGTACTCACCAAAAAACGCAACAAACTTTCTGACAATTTGTTTGAAAAACTATTATTATTAAAAATTAACAAAAGCTAATTTTTATTAATTACTGTTAATTTTAACTTTACAGTGACAAAGATTAAGTTCTTTCTATTGAATAGGTTGGACTGGAACTTAATTTTTTTTTATATTGAGCTGACGTTCTTATGTTTAAAGATTATTTAATTGTGTCTCAATTAAATCATCTTTTAAGAGCAGTATTTAAAAGTATTTAAATACTGATGTTCAGTATTTAGTATTTAAAAAAAATTTGTCCAGTATTTGGTATTTATATAGTATTTGAATACTCAAAAAATTGCAAAGTATTGGAAAGTATTTAAATACCTCATGACTGAGTATTTGTCACAACACTGTATATAATTATCATATCATATAAGGACGCACAGCTACACATAGTTTGTATAACATAGTTAGTTCTTAGTGTAACTTAATAAAGAACTTAATAGACTTAGAAAACTACAGTTACCACATTTGACTATTGGTGTATTAAAATTGTTATTTAAATTTATTTATTATATATTTTAATATTTAAATAAATGTTTTAAAACTTTAAATTAAAAAGTATAAGGTTCGTTTTACCTTGAAATTTGCATACAACGTATCTCACGACGTACCTTTTTTATTTCAAATATGAAACAAATTGTAATTGCATCTTTAACAATGAACAAATGTCACTTGCTAACAATAATGAATAATAATAAACAGGTGGTGCCAAATACATTATAAATAATGCTACATTTAATTTCAGTGTGGGTCTTGAGCTTGCACATTTGAGCATAGCTCATCCGAACGAGGCGTAAGGCTCGAAAGACTCAATCGGAGTTCATCTTTTTCATTTTTTATTTTTAAAAATCTTGCACTTCACACTTTGCTCGCGAACTACCAGGCTGGCGACCACATGTTGAGAACCGCTGCTCAAAACCATTCATTGCAATTAACGCTCTATAAAAACGACAATATATCTTTATTCCAGAGATGGTTAGAATATTCAAAATGAACAATAGGCAAGTCTTTTTTTCCACACTAACTTTGCGATCTTGTTGATTTTGTTGGAAAAATATTTAAGGTAACAAAAAAACCATTTTTGAAATAAGTCGCCTTCTCCGCAACCAATTTTCAGCGCGCCTATAAACTACCGTTCGAGTTTTGAATGATGACGAATTATTATTTTGGATATTTTTTATTAATATATGATTGAAGTTAAAACAAGCATTTTCAAAGTTGATTGGGGTTACAAAAAGAATAGGTTGAATATAAAATAAGAACGATAATAACATGCACACATGTTATTACAGATGTGTGAATTCACAATTTTACCACATAACTGAAGTTTAATGACAATTAATTAATTCATAAACTAGATGTTCCTGACTTTATAGATTTTGATTGTAATACATTTGATGATAATACTTCAGATCGTGAGTAAAATTTGGCACGAACTCTGCAGCCTCTGCATTTAATTGGTTATTTGGTATGTTGCCATCATTTCCAAAATTTTCGTTAGATCTGTCATGACTGATATTCTTAACAAATAACCCCATGCTTTCTGACACAAACTGTCCTTCTCTGTTCAAATATTGATGGGAGGATTGGATCGATGGTAGGGGATCAGGGCAGGAATAGTTTTCACGGTAGAGCCGAGCTTCTTCATGCGTCATTTTTTGAAAACATTTTTCGCTTCCATTTGTACTGTTGACTTTTCCAATAAACTGATAATACTTTGTGTTTTCACAACCACCCGCTTGGAAACAGAAGTACAATCTATTGCCCCCAGGCCCTGTGTTAGTACGGTCAATGTTGTACCTTGGTAAGTCATAGATGTACCCATTACTCTTTTCTGTGAAAGTATTTATTTTAATGAATTTGTTGAAAACTGGTGTTGGAAAAAGAATAAGATGAATAAGAAGAAAAAACGGTGAAAACATGAACACATAACAAAATTTGGTAACTTGGAATCACGTGTTAAGCTTTCCTCACGTGATTGCAAGTTACAAAATTCTGACAAAATGTTTCGACAAAGACACATTTTTTTCCGGTTCACCCACCAGACAGTAATTCTAAACATTAGACAAATTAAGTATGAAGATATAAAAAATAAAATAATAAACTAACCATTTGCACTGGCCATCTTTCAAGCGAACCTTCCTTCAATTGATGAACAAATGAAATAATTATTAACGCAAAATAAGCAAATGAAGTCAAGAGATGTTTAACAAGCAAGTGCCGAACTATTTATAGAACGTTTTACAGCCATAGAATGTTACAGAATGCTTTACAACCATTGATTATATTAATTTTTACAACCAATAATTGATTAATAAAAATCTAAAATAAATTTAGCCAGGAGCATTCACTGTAATTAGGAAGGCGGTCCCTCTACTTTAAGTTCGGGGTTTGTCATAAAAAACTGGTTGAGATTCTTAATTTTGATAGTTTTTAATATAACAAAATGACGTTTATGGGTTAGTAATTTTAATAATTTAGAAATTCTGAATGAATTATAAAGTTGACCCAAACGGGGTTGCCCTTAACATTTGAGGGTAGATTGACGCACCTGCTTCTAAAAGGTCGAAATTTTTCAAGTTTTAGATAAAAATTATACAATTAACAGATTGGATGTATTATTCATGAAATTATATTTTGAAATTAAAATTTTTATTTTGAAAAACTGTGCGATCAGGCGCCTTAACCGTTAACTATAAAGTATGTCTTCTTGAAGAGCTTGTTTCTGTGACCTTTTAACCCTCTCCAGACTGGGTAAGTTGTCCGTTGGGCCCTCTGTTCAGTTACGTTAAAAAATAAAAAATAAATAAATAAAATATTCTATATATATATATATATATATATATATATATAAAATTATCGATATTGTTCACTTTATTCAAATTAATGATAAATTTTCTAATTATTTTAGACTGCATTTTTCACACAGACATTTACATGAAAGCTTTTTTTGGTGACCTTCACCATCATCAGCGCAATAGAGTTTGTGATATTGTTATATGTACAAATGTGCACATCGGCTAGCTAATAGAAAACAAAAGCAACAGCGGTAGTCAATAGGATGACGATCATTACGCCACAATGACGTCATTGTTTGATACGACCACGACGACAAATTTGACGGAAAACCTGCCACCAGCTCATCAGCATCATGTTCGTCGTCGTCATAATCATCACTGTCGACAGTGCCACAAAAAGGTCCACAATCTTCGTCGTCGTATGGAAGTGCATCATTCAAAAGGAGTTTTTGCTCGACCAGATGACACTAGCAATGGCGACACTGACAATGATGATGTACATCACAGCAACACCAAATAACACTGTAAATAAATAAAAACAGTCCGATACCACATAACTGCATGTGGACAAATCATCTTGGGCATAACATGATTGTGTTTGAATCAGCTTATTACTCATCTAGACACGTAAGATCAACATGGTAGATATAGGCAACGATCTTTAAAATTTATATAAATAATATGTTTTTTGCCTGCCAAAACCGCTTTTATAGAAAAATGCTTTTTTTTGAATGTCTTGTTTGTTCGTATCTGTCAGACGTGTTTTCTGTTTTTCTACATCATGAACTAAACAACTCTGTTTTCAATATAAAAAAAGTTTGTAAGACAAAATTATGACTAAAATGATTTTATTTTCAATCAAATGCAAATAGTGAAAGACGGATAGAATCACTTTGTAATTTGTTATATGAAATAAGTTATAATAAAAAAAAATTCATTCGTCATAATTCATCCCCATCATCGCGGTCCTCCTTTTCTCCATAACCATCATTACGTCATCATTCACGTGACCATCATTCGCGGGGCAATACACATTGACATGAGCTCCTGGAAGAGAAGTTTGCACGCATACGGCATCCGAATCTGAGATATCTGTGTGTGTGGCGATGTGGAGATGATGATAATGATAAAAATTGTGGTGGTGATGATGATGACAAAGGTGATAGTAAAATAGAAACAAATTAGAATTAGTCACAAACCTGCGTCTTATTCTTACATCGTCTGCACTCCAAATTCTGATTCCTGAGGTTGGCAATGCAGATGAGACCACAAAGGTTACAGACGTGCACAGGGTAGGGGTCGGAGACCTCGAACAACCTTTCTTTCAAAAACTGGGCAGCCCCATGTGCAATCTGACAATCACGCTCCATCTCGCCAAAACGAAGCCCACCATCTCTGTTGAAGTTTATCTTAATATTAGCCTGGTTATAAAACAATCAAACAAATCACACAACCAATCCAACTCAAATCAACAAGCCAGCGAATCACAATCGACCAACCAGCCAATCACAATTCGACCAATAAACCAACCGACCTTGATCTACCCTCCGTGGGTTGCCTGTTTAAAATCTGCAGGGGACCCCTGGCCCTCGAATGTATCTTGTCGTCCACCATGTGCTTCAACCTCTGGTAGTAAGTTGGACCGATGAATATTTGAGAAACCATCTTGCGACCGGTGTGACCGTTGTAGACAACCTGCAATTAGTGAATAAGAAAATTTTTTATAACATTATTGTATGAACATATTTTTAATTCAAAAATTAACAGAAAGCAATTCCTATAACATTATAACATGTAAATATTTTTAATTCAAGAATTAACAATGAGCAAACAAACGACAGACCTCATTTCCGTACCTATGATACCCATACCTCTTAAGAACATCGGACATTTTCTTGACATTGACGGCATCATTGAATGGGGTGGCGTCACCAATCTCACCCTTATTGGCCGCCACTTTACCCTGCAGGCACTCAATCAAGTGACCTATCGTCATACGAGACGGAATGGCGTGCGGGTTGATGATGATGTCCGGGGTGATGCCCTCTGAGGTAAATGGCATATCCTAAGTTGAGGTGGGGGTAATATTAATATGTATCTATCAAAAAATGAATGCCATACAGCAAACAGTGGCTGACATTGGCTAATTATAAACAATCACCGATCACACCATCAATCAAACAAACCACCAATCAAACAAACCACCAATCAAACAAATCACCAATCAAACAAACAAACAAACCACATCGATACTAACTTCTTGTCTGTATTTCATGCCACAAGTTCCTTTCTGACCGTGCCGACTGGCGAACTTGTCGCCAACCTGCGGCGTTTTGATTGTCCTGACACGGATCTTGCAGAACTTGTAACCCTCCTGGTTGATCGAAAGCATTACCCGATCCACCACTCCTGTATCACCTTTTCTCATGAAGACACTGTTGTCTCGTTTCGTGTACCTCCTCGCTTGGCCCTCAAGCTGAAAGTTTCATCATATGTTATTTTAAATTATTTGAAACAACAGCATACCATCACCACCATAAAAACAACGACAACAACAACAACAACGACAACAACAACAACATACCTCGTCTTCATTTTCAGGCAGTGTGATAGTCTTACCAATGAGAGCATCATCTCCAGATACTTTGGTACCCGGTGATATGATGCCATCATCGTCCAACTTATTGTAGGATGCATTCTTCATGCCTTGCACGTAAGATCTATCAGGTTTCTCAAACACCTCCTCCTCACGGAACCCTTTCTTTGATTCGGCATCCCAGTACGATTTATAAAAAATTGATCGAAAAAACCCGCGATCGACAGCTGACTCGTTCATGATGATTGAATCTTCCTGATTGTATCCAGAGTACGATGCAATGGCTGTGATGCTGTTGGTGCCAGCCGGTAGCTCGTTGAATTTCAAGTACTCCATCGACCTGTGTGAAAAGATGGATGATAGGGGGCGTTGAATTCAATCAATCAATCAACCATTATTTCAACCCAACAAACAAACAAACAATTTTGAATTGAATTCAATCAATCAATCAATATTTCAACCCAACAAACAAACAAACCATTTATATACCAAACACTCAGTCGACCGACCTTGTAGCAGCGAGAGGCTTTTGAGGATAAAAGAGAACGTGGGCCATTGCATCCATCCTTATGTGGTAGTTTGTAGAGTAGACACCCATGGCTTGCTTGCTCATAGCAGATTGGTATGTGTTACGTGGTGACTGTCAATCATAATTATGTAGTTAGTGATGAAGTAATGGAGGATGACGTCAAAACGGTGACGTAATAATCAATATAACAATGTTGTAAAACATTAAAATTAATTATGTGAGAGATGTAGCAAGTAACCTGGTTGTGATCAGGGAATGGTATGATGGAGGCGCAAACTCCAAGTATCATCGATGGATGAAATTCGCAGTGCGTATACGTTGTGCAGTACAAACTACCTATCGTTGTTTATTTTTTGATTGTGAATACAATTATCGTATCATTTTGATCATCTCACTCATGACATCGTCTCACTCATTAGAATAACTAACCTTTCTCGTCAAGTTCTTCAGGAGTCATAGCAATCATGGCAGTTTCTTCTTCCAAAGCATCAAGGTACTCTACTAATCCATTTGCTACCAAATCTTGCCAACTGTTGATTATCCATAAATTTGTTAATTTATTTATTATCATTTTACACACACGCACACACATACATGCATACACACACATACACACTCACTCACACAACCATACACACTTACCCATAATTTTTGTACTTTCTCTCCTTTAGCAGATCGATATGTCGTTTCTTGAGTAGAAGTTTCTGATTTTCGACAATGAGCAAAGGTCTGCATATCCTGCCGGCATCAGTGTATATTCTAATTTCTCTATTCCTAATATCCCAAAACATGGTTACCTCGGATACGATGATATACATCTGACGACGAAATTTCTTCAGAGTATTCATCAGTTGTCCTGGGTCTCTGTGAATGCCTACCCAGCATCCATTGATGAAAATTTTTGTAGCATTCATGATAGCAGAGAAAGAAATTTCTTCTAGATTCTCCATGCTCCACTCCTCCAGAAACTCGATTATCTGAGATGGTTGCGAGCCGACGGATACGCTAGCCATGAGGGCGAGGTTCTTTATCAAGCCGACGGCACATCCTTCTGGGGTCTCGGTCGGACAGATCATGCCTGTGGGTTGTGTCATGTTTGTTTAGTTCATGGATAATTTATGAATGAATTTATAAAATTAAATTTAACAATGTCTATGAAAAAGAATTTATACATCACGAATCAAACTTGGTTTAAAATTAAAACTTTTCCACAACTAATTAAAAATATGAAAAAAATCTAACCCCATTGAGTATTGTGAATTTGCCTAGGTCTCGCCCTCTTTCCGTCTCTGCTAATTGGAGAGTTCACCCTTCTTAGATGAGAGAGCGTGGATACGTATGTTAGTCTATTCAGCACCTGCAAGAAATTCAGTTCAGCTTTACCATCACGTTAATGTTAAAACACATACACACAAAGAAAAGCACGTAGGAAATAACACAAACTTACAATAACAACGATATAAACCTGAGAAACACCGGCCCTTGCCTGGTGGGCCTTTTTCTGATCGCCCCAATTTCCGGTTGCCAGCGAATACTTGAGGCCATCGGTGATTGTTCGAGTTTTTATGGCAAGTTCAGGGTTGAAGTCTCTACCCCGGTTTATAAACTTTTGGGCATACAGTTTTATTTCTTTGGAAAGGTTTCTGAATAGCCTGTTTGGTGTTACAATGATAGAAATATATTAGTGACAAAAGTTTTAGACAAAAATAGAAAGGTGTTAAAAAGGAGAGAGTAAAAAGAGGAAAAGAAAAAAATGCACACCCTCTGAAAAGATAAGCAAGAAGGGATCCGGCGAGATCTAATCTCTTGTTTCCATAGTGATCTCTGTCATCAACTGCTCTTCTGCCTAGTGCTGCCAACAGCAAACGATGCACCATGTAACTGTGGGTTAAAGTTGCAATATAATGTTAGATTGACAATTTTGTTATAGTGCTGTTATGAAATAATAACATTCATTCTTTCCCTTTTTTGTTCATTCATTCATTCTTTAAACCAGTCAATCATCAACTAACCCAAGAAAGTATGCCTTCCTGGTTTTGCAGGAGTCACTGATACCGACATGCGGTAACATCTCTTTCTGTATAATCTCCTTAGCGTACTTGATCCTCTTTTCCCTGGTCACCCCAGGTCTCGACCCCCTCCCTCCAATAAAGTTCAAGGCCACCTGCTGATTTTGGACACAGGATGCTTCTTCTATCGATGATTTGACCTGAAATTTGTTATGAATATGAAATTTATTTTGGCATTTAAAATTTATTTTACTTATCTGATTGATCATCAACATAAGATCATTAAAAAGACCATCATTACTTTTATTATGATCATTGTCAGAATACGTTATAATCATAATCATAATGAAACCCACCATCTCCATCATCTCAAGATCGTCAAAATCGTAGATGATATGTTCAAGGATATCCCTGTCTGATAAAAATCCCAGAGCCCTGAAAACAATGATGATAGGAATTTCCTGTTTGATGTATGGAAGGAGAGCCACGATCCTCGGTTGAATGCCTACGTTTTTTGCACCCTGAAAAATGAAAATGGTTATGCAAAAAGCCATTATAACATAAGATGACGTAAGGTGACGTAAGGTGACAACAATTGCCACCAGCATCATTATGACTTACACTTCCTGCTGGGTCCATCATATTGACCCACATAGTGCTGGTCGGTCTCGAGGACTGTTCCAGACACGATCTCAACTCGGTTTTGTAGGCGTATTTAGAATCGTCCTGACTATAAACGTACACTGTATTGTTGGCCATCCTCTCCTGGGCGATGATAACCTTTTCGGTACCATTGATGATGAAATAGCCCCCAGGGTCGAGTGGACATTCGTTCAATTCTGTCAAATTACGATCTGTCAATCCACTAAGCAAGCAGTACTTGGATCGCAACATTATGGGGATTTTACCTGAAAAGTGTTTTAAAGTTATTAATATATTTGATATAATAATTATTATACTAGCATTAGTATTCTTAACAATAATAATAGAAAAAAAACGTGTATTTTATAAATTTTTATTTTATTTCCTAACCTAAGAGAGTTTTCTGATAATTTGTAACAACTGGTTCTTGTCCATCCCTAATGACTTTTTTAGTGATGTCAACATAGAGGGGGGCCGAGTAAGTCAGGTTACGAAGACGAGCTTCGTTGGGCATCATCGGACTAGGAGCGCCATCTTTCTCCCAGTGCGTTGGTTTTGATAAGTAGACTTGCTCAAATTTTAATTGATATTGTGGCTGTAATTAGTAGTTTATTTTAATTAAATAAATTTTGTCATAAAAATTATATTTTGCCAATATTTAAAAAATGTGATACTAAAATTATTTTGATATGATGAAAAATTGAGAATATTACAAAATATTTATTTAGAGTTAAAAATCATATAACAGACAAAGATGAGAAAAATACAAACCGGATTCTCAATGTGGCTACTGGAATGTTTTGCTTCGGTCTGCAGGTCGATCTGCGGAGAGTCATCAACAATTCTCTGGATAGAATTCTGTATAAATTCATCAAAGGAATCCAACTGCTGCCTAACCATACCCTTCTCTTCAAAATAGGAACTTATAACGGTCCAACAATCTTCCTGCCAGAGTTCTGATGTAACGTCATCACCTTCATCATCCATATCAACTGATAGGATATATAATTTGTTATTTTATTTAATTAATATATAATAATATATAATATATGTCTGAAATATAAATATATCATATATTAATATTTTATTCTACGTATGAGTAACAGCAAAATAAAACTAACCATCTTCGTTTCTCATCTTTATCTCCTAAGTATAGCTACTGCCAAAATTGACTAGTTAGATTTCGATATAAGCACGATCTCCCGTCAAACAAATTTATTTGTTATTTACCCACTTTTAAAATGAACTGTTTAAAAGTTTTGAGACACTGCTGTCAGTAAAATTTTTACCAAACAACTAGACAAAAAGAGGCGATGCATTTTAAAATGAACTGTTTTAAAATTTTAAGACAGTAAAATATTCACTAAACAACTTGACTAAAAGAGTTGATGCAGACCAAATACATACATCTGCAAACCGATAAATATTTTAAAATTGTGTTGTAAAACGGTCTTGGAATTTACTTACTTTTAAAATGAACTGTTTAAAAATTTTAAAACACTGCTGCCGGTAAAATATTTACTAAACAACTTGACTAAAAGAGGCGATGCAGGATATATATAAACCTGACTAGAATTGTAAAAATGAGTTGTAAACAAAAATGGAAACAAAATTATGCTAGACTATGCGTACAATGTACAAAATTAAGTATAGCTACACGTCACAAAAGTGTTGCATAATTTGTTAACGAAATTTCAATTTTAATATACAAAGCGATACAAAACAATACAGGCTGCTAACTTCGCTGTCATGTTTTTCGTTCGTAATAAAATTCAAAAATTTTCGCTTTAATTCAACTAAATTTTAAGTTAGTTTTACAGACAATAATAATAACAATGATAATGTTTTGCTAAGTGAAACCAATAAAAAAAGTCCAAAGAACCAGCTCCAAAACAAAAGTTCACCAAAGAATTTGGATTGAGGTTGTGTGAACAGTGTCTTGGTCGCAAGAAGGATAGGTTTCATCAGCTTTTAAATAAAGATGAACAACGTAGGTACAAACATATCTACGGATTTAGCAGCGTTGAATGCAGAAACTGCGTGACAAACTCAGAATATCATCTCAAAACTGAAATCTCTTGAGGATTTCATTCGACAGACAATTATTCACTCTCACACAAGATGTTCTATCACACAAATAATCTTTAATTCATTCGATCAAACGGTCATTCACACTAAATCGACGCTACTTTTCAATGAACCCTGTCAAACGCTTTTGAACAATTTGTAAAAATAATTGATTTATAAGATCAGTTAATTTAATGCTCGTTCTCTCCCTCTTGATATTGGGTAGTTTTTTATTTTTTTTTTCATTATTTTTTTTCATGTTTTTAATTTTGGGGGTATAGTTTAGTAATAAATTCACTTTTAATCTTAGTATTTTTTGTCTTAAATTTTTTATTCATGCATTCATTCATTCGTTCATCCATTCACTCACTAACTCACTCACTCACTCACTCACTCACTCACTCACTCACTCACTCACTCACTCACTCACTCACTCACTCACTCACTCACTCACTCACTCACTCACTCACTCACTCACTCACTCACTCACTCACTCACTCGCTCGCTCACTCACTCATTCATTTGCTTATTCTTTCATTGACTGGGCAGCGGACGTGATGGCTCAATGGTTATAGGCGCCTGTTGCAGTGGCTGTGTTGGAATGCAGAGAGATGCCCGCCCATCATATGCAGGGTGCGTGCTCACTCACTCACTCACTCACTCAAGCGTATTCATATACCCTGTGTGTGTTTGTCATTGAAACCTCTTGCACTATAGAGATTTCCTTTCATCTTTTAACATCTTCAACCTATTTTTTTAACTCATTCAAGCATTCATTCTACTGATTTATTTTCTATGATATTTATCTATTTCCATTAATTTTTCCTTGTTTCATGAATTCAATAGTTTTATTTTCTTTAAATTTATTATATAGAATTTTTATATTATGTCCATTGTACAAAAATAGCATTCATTATGAACACATCTACTCTATCTACGTCATCGACGTATTTTTATGACTGAATTGGAAATGAATTTTTTGCATTTTTCATTTCTTTTTTGTTGTTTTCATCTTCGAATTTGGCCTGAAACCAGAATATTCATGCGGTTTCGTAAGCAGTTCGGTCTTTATCTGTCATCGATATATTTTTTTTTGATTGAATTCTCTTTCTAAAACTTCACGTATTTCTCCTTTTCGACCTTTGGTATATAAACCAGTTATCAACCTGGCGAATGTTTAGCCCGGTTTCATACGCAATTCGGTGCTTATCTATGTAACTGACATAATCTTTTTGACTGAATTCGCCTTCCAAAACTTCACGTATTCCTTTACTAAAACGAAAAAGATTAGCTTTATTAGTTTGAATCAAATGTTTCGCTTTCTTCATCTGTAGTTGTTGCGTTGGTTGTTTCAGCAGATTCGGTGGCAAGATAATGGGTTTTGGTAGTTCAATATTTAATTTTGGTAAAGTAATTACCTTTTTAACCAAGATCGACGGACGGCCGGTTGTGTATGCAATTCGCTCTTTATCTCTATCGTCCATTCGGTGCTTATCTATGTGATCGACCTGATTCTTTTGACTGAAGTCGCGTTCTAAAACTTCAAGTTTTTCCTCATTGAAACGTGAACATGAAGTAATTACTTCCTCTATCGAGATTGATGGACAGACGACGGTTTCGAATGCAATTTGGTTTTTATCTTTGTCATCGATATATCTTTTTTGACTGAATTCTCTTTCATAAACTTCACCTTTTCGTGCTTTGACCCTTCGGTGTGTAAACCAATTTTTAATCTGGCGAATAGTCAAACCGGTTTCATGTGCTATTCGGTGCTTATCTGTATGATCAACGTGATCTTTTTGACTGAATTCGCGTTTCAAAACTTTATGTATATCATATCTGAAACGTGAACGAGAAGTAAATACCTCTTCTTCCGAAATCGACGGACCGACGTCGTCATCAAGGAGAAAAAATGCAGACTGATTATCATAATTGATCTCAGCGCTTCTGTCAAATGTCTTGAAACTCTCGAAACTCTGTTCGTAATTGATCTGTTCTCCCTCGCCAGAGAGCTTCACATTTTTAGACTTAGGATCGGAAAGTGACTTTTTGTTTTCCATATTTGAATGCCAGGGTAACGAGTAGTTATGTTCAAAATTAATCTGGTATAACTTTTCTAATGACATTATCTTAAAATAAATAGTGAGCTTAACGATATTAAGAATAAATTTATTACCCTAAAGATACCTTGAAAAACGTGGGTGTACAATTTAAATAAGAAACCTTCGAAATAATGACAAGAGACTTCATACACTTTCTTATATACACTCTAAACCAAAGATTTTAGATTGTGTTGGTTGATAGTATATAATTTAATTTAATTATTTATAGACGGTAATTTAATAAAAAGTTAAAAATTGTAAATTTATCAGTTTACGATGTTAAAAAATTACGCATATTGCGACCTTAAATTGTCATACACTAATTAATTTTAATAATAATGTAAACTTTAACAGTCCATGAAATCATCACTTTGATGTTATGCCAACTTATTTTTTACATTAAATATTTTAACTTTCCATAGTGAAAATATCTATATTTTTGAAATTTGGTTGAAATCGAAAATTTTCAAAAACAAGAAAATTTTTTAAAATTTATAATTCATAAATTCACTTTACTAATACTCGTCACACATCTTAATACGCTGAACGCAAAGTTCTACTTAGAACGCGGGTTTCGTCGTAACGAAGAAAATATAAACCACTTTTGGTTATTTGCTTGACTCTGTGGGCAAATGGTGCTTTCTTCAATCGTTCATGTAATATTTTTCTTCAATCGGTCAGAATATAGTCACTTTCTTTTATTAACTATTCATTCTCGATTCATTTTTCGAAGTTGTCGGCAGCAGCATAACAGCGCATGAATCCACGCATCGCATCACGTGATAAGTTTCGGACTATTTGTCTTCAAACCGGTAATTAATATTAATTTAATTAAATTAATGTATATGTGTATATAATACAAACAAAGAATATGGAATTATTCGGCTATTGGAAATAAAAAATTTGTTATTTCTTTATAATGTTTTCTAATATTGCTAATTAATATTTTTCATTAGCATTAATAACTTTTAATTAATTCTCAAAAATATCTAAAACAACAACTCGTGTTAAAGAATACGGCTTGAATATTTTTATTTTTGAAAAATTTATGTTTTCAAATTTTATTCGTTTAACTTTTTTAACTCAATATGTTTCTTTACAATCTTCTATAATTTACAATCTAAAGGTTACAACTATAGCAAAGATAACAACAATTAAGATAACAAATAATATAGTGCAATTTGATCATTCCGTCGGTTATAACAACATGATGGAAGAATAATAACTTTTTCAATTTATCGTCTAGGAAAGACTGTTTAAGACACAATGACCCACAAACGAACACTTCAAAACAAACAACATAAACATGCCCTGCTTCAGGAAGGTTTCTAACTAAATTCAATTTTGTACTGTGGTGGGTTCAGTTGTACGTTATGGTACGTTTCTTTTAATAAAATAAAAAGTAAATTTGAATGAATATATTAAAATTTTTATATTTATTTTATTTTCACATAAGATTCGTAAATCATTTCTAAACCTTTTTGCTACGAAATGGCCAGTGTTTCTTTTAGAAAATCAAACAAAATTTTCACAGATGCATATTTTACATTAATTTATTTTTTATTAAAATGAACAAACAATCTCGAAGTTTTGAATTAAGTTTGAATTTGAATCAGTGGCTTACTTCTAGGAGAGCGTAAAAAGAGGCCGCCGCATTGAAATGTAATGGTCGCCAGAATGGGTAATGAGTAAGAAAAAACAAAAACACTGTCCATTTTAAAAATTCTTTGGTACTTTTTTAAAAAAGGTCTTCCATAAGAATTTTTCAATGAATTCGTCTCAATGAAAATCCCTGCAAGAAAAGAAACTCAACTAACATTATTATTATTATTATTATTATTATTATTATTATTATTATTATTATTATTATTATTACAGTAATAAGATTGTTGCAGTTGGTTTTTGAACAAGAGAGTTGCTTTAATGTAACTCATTGTTTATTTTAACAAAATAAGTTTTATTGACGTTTTTAATATATTTGAATTTTATATCAAATTGTATAATAATTTATAAAGAAAATGGGCGTCTTTTTAAAATTAGGTTTCACCAAACATTTTAAAGACTTCAAGTTTTTAAATAGACACTCCTGGAAGTTCACAGTTGTTATTTTTAACTCTGATGAAAATATATCACGTTAACATTTCTCCAAATTTATTAACAAATAATAATAATATTTTACCTGATAATTCAAATAACTTGTTGACGTTGCTGTGGTAAACCTTGCAAAAGTCGAGAAAGATTGTTAATGCATCAAAAAGTCTGTAAATTTAACAAATCTCTCAAGTCCATAAAATCCGCATTGAAACCAAAGGACAGCAAGGACTACAATCTAACAACATTTCAACACACGTCAACTTCCACAACTATTCCAAAACCATTACCTGGATTAAAACTGCCTAAATTGTCATAACATTGGGCTGAGACCATTTTATTTTTCCATATGGAACTAAAACGTCTTGAAGACCGCGAGGATTCCAACAGCTTCGCTATTAGTTTCAAAAATATAATCCACACATTTTTTGCGTCAAGCTATGGTACACTAGCAAAAGATTCAAAGCCTGATGAGCCCAGAAATTGCGATATTCGACTCTTAAAAACAAGATTAAGAAACTTGAAGACATTGGCTCAGACAGATAGTCAATTCAACAATGACATCATCGAGCTCAGCAAACAAATATAGGTAATATTAAAAGAAAGAAACTGAATAAAAATAGCAACAACATTTTGATCACACTAAAACAAAACTTTTGGAAAACATGTAACAATAATTTTGAAAATAAGTTCAAGTGCTTCTTAAAAAAATGTGCAGGTAAGCAGTCGAGATTGCAGGCTTTAGACGGCGAATTTAAATTATTCGTTTTATTTCATCTTCGGTGTAGTCAGCAAAAGCCGAAAATAGCTTGTTGTTAAAATCCTCACGAGCAACTGATGGTGTATCACTGGATTCTGTAAGTTAAAAACGATTGTGCCAATAGTTTGGACTCATCTGGACTGGATGCACTGCTCATGTCTTGTCTTTGCAAAGTATTTTGTTTATGATTCTCTAACGCTGCTTTTGACTACACCCTTCATCATTAATCAGCCTTTTTCAATAACCATTTTGCTTATTTGAGAGAAGACGCATTTTAGCATTTAAAGCATCAATCCATTCTGTTTTGATTTCATCCGACGAAATCTTTCTAAAACGTCTTTCCATCTTTCTGCAGTTAGATTTGGAATGGCGACTGTCATTGTCGAACCAATGAGCCACAGCATCCTGTCTGATCTCAATAAAATGTTGGGGTGTTAAAATTATCGACGATGCGTTTGAGCTCCTTTTCAAACAAATCCAACAATGCATCAACATCTCTACCCTGACATGGCTCACTGGTAAAGAAATCAAAGACCAAATTGATGAATTGATCTTCATTAATTTTATTCCAGGATCGAACTTCTCTTTCACGACGGATTCTACATGGCAAATCAATTGGCAAAGGCGATAATATCAATGTATGTAATGGAAATTGTTCCATTACATGGTCACGTGGGTTAATTACTAGCACAAAGCACGTGTGCTTACCTAAGAGAGAGCGCCGTATGGTCACGTGGGCTGGTTACTAGACCAATGTAGAAGCGCTTACCTAGGAGAGAGCACCGTGCATGTCTAAAAATAGTCTGCACAAATGAGTTAACCCTTTTATGAAGCATGATTGAGGAACTTCTATTGATGGTAACGACAACTACGACGGTGACGATGACGATGACTACGAATGAATGAGTGAATGAATGAAGGAATGAATGAATGAATGGATGAATGAATGAATGAAAGAACGAACGAATGAACGAATGAAAAAAGGAATGAATGCTGATGCTGGAGTTTTTTGTTTCATAATAAGTGTTACGTGAAATGTTTCACTAAGGCTAAGTTGTACATGTATGTTTTTATTTCGTGCGTTCGTTCGTTTCGTTCGTTTTGTTTCGATTTGTTTCGTTTTGTTTCTATCACATCGTTTCGTTATGAATAAAAGCCCTGATTAATATGGTCAGTAGCATTTTTAAGTCACCGGGTGACATAAATTTTTCAAACAACATTGACCCCGACAGATTCTGAAGCATTTGTTTCACGTCATATTTTTGTTACTGAATAAAATTCTCTTTAATCTCGTTTCATTTCGTTATCTTAAATATAATTTTTGGTGACATCTTCTTCCGCCATTGAAGTTTTGTTGTCATTTTTAATTGAAATTAAATGGTAAATACTCATTTAATTTTTTTAAACTCCTAAGAAGATATTTTCAATGATTCTTTTATTAAAAAATTAATGATACAAATGTTATAAATAATTTGCTATATGGGAAAATGCCTTGACGATTATGATGATCATAGTGATGATATATCATAATGAGATACTATGATATCATAATGAGATCTTATGATATCATGATACCATAGAAAATGAGGATGATGATGAGGATGATGGCAGTCGTTATAATTATTGTTGTGATGACGTTGTTTAAAACTTATGGCCATAAAATTTGCTCGCTCTCAACTTTTAAGAACATTACCGATTCCACAAACAAAATTTTATTTTCAAAATTTAAATGAGAAAAAATAATCATAAACCTAAAAACTAAGAAGCGTAATAATGAAAATATTTTTTTTAAAAGATATATTTTTTATTTAAAAAATATATTTTTTATTTAAAAGAAACATTTTTTAAAAATGTTGAAAATTAGTTAAGAAAACGTTGAAGAAGGTTTTTTTTTGAACGAAGGAAGAAAATTGTTGGAAGGTTTTCTGGCATCATTTTGCTCACGTCTGACAAGTTCGCTGCGGTAACCAGGCATCATGATAACGATGGTAGAGACGAGAAGAATGATGATGATGATGATGAAGATGACGACGATGATAATTCGGATGATGATGAGATAAAGAAAATGATAATGCTAATGATGATGATATAATGATAATGATGTCAATGATGATGACGACGACGACGATGATGATGATGACGATGGTGATGATGAATGTTTGCCTCTAGTGTCTCTCATTTTTTACCTATCACTTTTCTCTCTCTTTCTCTCTCTCTCTCTCTCTCTCTCTCTCTCATTCTTTTTTACTTTCGATATTTTTGAAAATTTCAACGAGCATATATTTTCTCCCAGTAGACACACTCATTTTGTCAATATATTATTCATTAGCGAATTTTGATTTCATAACGTAAATTTAAACTGATTCGATTTACTAGTTCCAAAAAAACTTGTTAATGCGATGATTTGCGTCTAAATTTTTTTCTATTAAGACATGCAAACATCATTCAACTACCTTAAATAGTCAACAATTTTTTTGTTGGTCTGTCTGTGCGTGTGCGTGTTTGTAGTTGTGATTACATAATTTTTTTATGAAACAGATGAAAATTAATGTTTTTAGTCACAGCGTGTTTGTTAAAAAAATTTGGCGAAATTTGAGACAATTATCGATCAATTTTGAAAAAAACTCGAGTTATTAAAAATGTATATAAACAATATATATATATATAAATACTAATATAAATATATAATATATTTACCCTAACTCTAACCTTAATTAAATTTAATTTACATGTTCTTTGATGTATTCATTTATTCTTGTTGGAAAAGTTTGAATAGGTTTGGATTTAATGTGACATATTTTATCGATATATTTATAATTTGGATTTTCTCGTTGCGATCTAAGTTTTAGATAGTAATTCGATGCTAATTTTTGATGTCTATAAGATATGGGCATTTCCCCTGAGAGAACATGTAGACTGCTAGATGGAGATGTTTTATATTCTCCCAAAATAATTTATAAATGTTTGACTAAACAGAATATAAATGTTATTTATATGCTCCCAAAACTCTTCTTAATGACTCACGCACATCAAAGAACATGAAAAAACAAAAATTGTTAAACAGATGGATTATAAGATTCCTCCCCGGCTGTTGCTACATGCAGATATTGATACCAGTATAACAAAAATAGAAAAAAACAAAAACTTAGCAAAAATGTTTTTCAAAGAAAAAATTCAAGAGAATCCCAATTCAATTGAAATATATACTGATGGCTCAAAAAATGGAATATCAACTACAGCAGCAGTAGTAGTCTACAGACAACAAAAATGCATAAACAAAATCATGCAACATCTTCCAAACCATGCTTCAGTCTTCACAACAGAAATCATTGCCATTCAGATGGCAATAAACTTCATATCTAAATCCAATAGTAAAAATTTCATGATATTTTCAGATTCATTATCAACAGTTACGGCGCTTAAACAATATAGACCTCAACACAACCTTATAATTCAAACGCAAAACAGGATACATGATAACTTGAATGATAACAATGGTAAGAAAATAACTCTGATATGGATACCCAGTCACATAGGAATTCAGGGTAATGAGGAAGTCGATCAACTGGCATCACAAGCTCACAATATTCCAATATCAAATCTTCCCATCCCACACAATGATTTAAGATTTTGGACAAAAAAGGTTTCAATGGAGAAATGGCAACTTGAATGGAACCAAACATCAAACTTTCTTAAATTATCCACACCATTTCTCAGCCAAAAAAATGAATTTAAAGGTTTAAAACATAAACCTCAGACAATTATCAATAGATTAAAAATAGGCCATTCAAGTTTGACTCATTCCTGGATTCTCAACAAAAAAAATTCGCCTACATGCAACTCTTGTAACGAAAAACTATCCATCACATTTTGGTCAAATGTAATAATCACAATAATAGTAGGAAACGACATGACATCCCTTCAGAAGTAGAAAAAATTTTTTCCAGAGATAAAATCAATAATCTAATATCATTTCTTCAGGAAATACAAATTTTTAATAGAATTTAAAAATAATTTCTCAAAAGTTTTAAAACAACAAAACGCATTTATAGAAAAGGAACAAAGGGCGTAAAGATAGCCAGTTGTGCTGAAACGCCGTTAAACTGCACAAACAAACAAATTTAATTTCACCCAGTGCCTGGCGGAAGGCCTCCTCCTTCCCTTTCACGTGAATGATGCCGAGCTTCAAGTACATCCTCCATATTTGCTTTTTCTTCACTACCTTTGTGAATTGACAGGCCACGAAGTTCTCAATAGAACTTTCGTCCACGTCTTTTTCATCATCGTCATCGTTTGAGTTCAACGGGTCAGGATCCTTTTTTTCTGCAGCCGAGGATTCGTCAGAGAGGTCATCATTTTCTCCCACCACCTCTTTCTCATTCTCTTCATCATCGGAATTGTCGCACAATCCGTCCAGCTGTTCTTCAATTGTGAATAGCACTTTATTGCTTCCATCTTGATTTAATTTAACCAATTAATAATAATTCAATATAATTAATTAAATTATTAATAATTAATTAATATAACAATAAATTGTAATAATATAAATAAATCAATCAAAAGTTAATAATGGTAATGAAAAATATTAAAATACAGTAGCGACTGGTTTGAATGCAAATAGTCCCAAACTTATAACGTGATGGATTCATGCGCTATTATGTTGTCGATCAGAACTTCGAGAATGAATCGAAAATCAATATTAAAAAATTGACAAAATTCTAGCTGATCGATTGAAGAACAATATTAGAATAACGATTGAACAAAGCTTTATTCGTACGTTAAAGACAAGTAAATAACCAAAATGTGGTTTACACACCTTTTTCGTTACGAAGAAACCTGCGTTTTAAGTTTAACTTAGCTTTCCGCGTATTAAGGTGTGTGACAAGTCTTAATCAGGTGAATTTCTAAGCGATAAATTCTGAAAAAAATTTCTTATTTTTGAAAATTTTCGATTTAAAGCAAATTAAAAAAATATAGAAGTTTCCATTATCAAAAATTAAAATGTTTATTGTAAATAAATGTTTGTGGTAAATAATATGCTTAGTAAAATATAAAATATTGATTCAATTATGAAAATTCCTATGAAAAATTTTACAATGAGAAGAGAAGAAGAAGACAAAGTTCATTGAAACTGGCAAAGACTGTATAACATCAGGAGCAAAGATGGTATAGCATCGAAGTGATGATTTTATGGACTGATTTATATTTTAAATGGTCAAATTATCATCTAAATTAATTATTGTATAACAATTTAAGGCCACAATATGCGTAATTTTTTAACATCGTAAACTTAAAAATTTACAATTTTTAGCTTTTAATTAAAATACCATTCATAATTAATTAAATTCGTTTATTAGCTGTCAACCAACACAAAGTGAATAATCTAGAATCTTTGGTTTGGAGTATATATATATGACAGTGTATGAAGTCTCTCGTCATTCATTCAAAGGTTTCTTATCTTGATTGCACACCCAGGGTTTTCACGGTATCTGAAGCACAATAAATTTATTTTAATATTGTTAAGCTCACTATTTATCTTAAGATAATGTCATTGGAACAGTTATACCAGATTAATTTTGAACACAACTACTCGTTACCATGCCATCTAAATTTGGGAAACAAAAAGTCACTTTCCGATCCAAAGTTCGAAAATGTGAAGCTATCTGGCGAAGGAGAACAGATCAGTTACGAAAAATCCTCCTCCAAACAGAAGTACAAGAATGTCAAGCCATTTGATTTAAGCGCAGGGACCATATATGATAATCAATCTACAGCTTCTTTCCTTGATGACGTAGTACGTCCGGCACGTTCAACCTCTGTTGATCTGCCGAAGCAACCAACGCAACAACTACAGGTGCTACAGAAACCCAGCGACAAAAAGGTTCCCATGGTTTTGTTAAATCTTCGAAAAGATAGTAAAAATGAAAACAGCAAAAGAGAGAAGAAAAAAAATGAAAATGATGTTATTCGTACTGACGAAGTTTACCGTGAATGTTACAGTAATGAAATACGTGAAGTTCTAGAAAGGGAATGTAGTCAAAAAAATTATATCAGTGTTCAAGATAGAGACAGAATTGCATACGAAACCGGCCTTAGTAATCGCCAGATTAAATTCTGGTTTCAGAACCGAAGGGCCAAAATCATAGATCTTCCAAATGAGCTGTTAGATAGTGTGGAGGAAAACAGAGAAAAGGAGAAGAAAAAACAGAATGCGGAAAATTCGATTGATGTTAATGAAATTAACAGTGTACTTCAAAGTGATAAAATAAAAATACGTGAAGTTTTGGAAAAGGAATTCTGTCTAAAAAAATATATCAATGACAAAGATAGGGACCGAATTGCGAATGAAACCGGCCTAAGTATTCGCCAGATTAAGTTCTGGTTTCACCAACGAAGAGCCAAGTTGTTGATTAGTGAGAATATAAACAGAAAAAAAGATAAGAAAAAAAAGGAAGCAGAAGATTTGATTAGAACTGATGAAGTTAGCCGTACACATTACAGTAATGAAGTACGGGATGTTTTGGAACGCGAATTCGTTCAAAAAAATTATGTCGATCACATAGATAAGCACCGAATTGCGCATGAAACCGGCCTGACTACTCGTCAGATTAAAAACTGGTTTATACACCGAAGGGTCAAAACACGAAAAGGTGAAATACGGGTGGTTTTTGATAAAGAATTTAGTCAAAGAGTATATATAGATGACAGAGATAAAGACCGAATTACGAACGAAAAAGTCAACTGTCCGTCAATTTTGGTAAAAAAAGTAATTACGTTACCGAAATTTACTTATAGACTACCAGAGCCTATTATAATCGTGCCACCAATGGAACAACAACTGCTTAACGATGTCACCAAATCTGATGAGACAACTAATGCAACAAATAATGAAGAAAAAAGAGAAATATTCCATTCAAACTGATGAAGTTTTGGAAAGCGAATTCAGTCAAAAAGATTATGTCGATCACATAGATAAGCAGCTCCTGGAAAAAAATCATGATGAAGCGATCTTTCAAAATTTTCAGAAAAACAAAATAATTCATCAAAATATTGTCAAAAAGACAAAAAATGACGAGACAGTAAAAATTGATATTAATACCGCAAACAAAGAAAATGAAATGAAAATGAAAGAAGATGACAATAACAAAGATTTTAGCAAAACATTGAAACTTGGTGTTGAAAAATACGACGACCAAACGAAGATTGAAAAAGAATTTCGATGTGATGTGTGCAACAAGTCATTCACACATAAGCGTTACTTATCGCAGCATAAAAAATTTCACTCTGGAGTGAAACCATACAAATGCTGGACATGCGATAAATCGTTTCTATTGTATAATGATTTAAAAAAACACATTAGGACCCATACTGGAGAAAAAACCTATAAATGTGATGTTTGTGACAAGTTGTTTGCTCTTTCTGGTAGTTTAAATGTCCACATGAGAATGCATTCTGGTGAGAGACCATTTAAATGTGATGGCTGTGGTAAATCGTTTGCTGACTCTTCTAATTTAAAAAAGCATATGAGGATACATACCGGTGAAAAACCTTATAGTTGTGGTGTGTGTGGTAGGTATTTCAATCAAACCATTTCTTTGCGTCGCCACAAGGAGACCCATAAATAATTATTTATGGGATAATAATTATTAAGCGGATATATCATTGGCTGAAGAAGTGGATTAATTTGTAACACTGATTATTTTTTGTTTGTTTTTGTTTTCTAAATGAATTTAAATAAAAAGAATATTAACAATATTAACAATAACAACGGCAGTAGTTAATATTTCCAATACAATTCAGCTTTTATACGTTTTTGAATTTGAATGAGTTTTTATGAAAACTTGTAGGTTTATACTTGATTGATTTTTAACACAGCCAAAAAATTTGTATACATATAACAGCCAAATGGGTCAAATGACCGGTGCTGCAGTTTTCATAGCTTTTCATGTTATTTAAGCATTTTTAAAGATCCATCAACATTAATTTGATCATGAATTTAATTAAATATACTCAATTAATTTTCAATGTAATGAATAAAGATAATTTCAATTCATCCATCCACGAAGATGGAGTTGCAATGATAATAATTTTTGTACTGTTTATAATCAATCCTAGTGAGAAAAAAAATTTCTGTATAAAACTTTAAAATTTTAACGACAATAAGCAGTTTAATGTATGTAAATGAAATAAAAAGCGAGCTTCTGTTTTGAAGACTGCTTTCAATTATAATACAATAATGTAACAATAATTATTTTATATTATTTTACTGATGATTAATAAATTCAAACTGCATATAGACATGCAGAAGCGGATCCAGGAATAGTGGAGACAAATCCCTCCAGAACACGAATGACAAGCGAAATGATATTTGTAATTTTTGGTCCAGGAGTTAGATCCCAAATTTCTCCATATAAGAATTTTTGGTTCCAAAATTTTTGGCCTCAGAGTTTTTGTCTCAGAGTTTTCGGTCTCAGATTTTACTATATAAGATATTTCGGTCCCGGAGTTTTTGGTTCCCTATTTAAAATTTATGCGTAAACGTAAGCAAACGTCAGTTTATTTATTCAGCGCTATTTCCGTGTCGTTCAACAGCGCTCAAACGTCATGACGAGGCACGCGCTATTCACCGCATCACATACTCAAAGTAGATGATAGGCTTTGGAATGTAGCATAGCCTGCATTCGAACCCGAAGCCAACGCCGCAACTCAAATCAAATTGGTCGCGCTTGCAATCATGTATGTAAAATAGTGATTTTACTGCTTTGAACAACGGATTATTTGATTAATGCTTGCATTGAATTCAATGATTTTCAGATGATAATAGTAGTTCAAGATACCCTTGCATTTAGTTAAGGTTAAGATTATGGTTAGAGATACATTACGAAGGTTATGTAAATATCCCTTCACCACATATGTTATTTATCACGCCCACTTTTTTTATTATACTAATAGCTTTTTAAATTGCATTGTTAGCATGGATACCCTTTGCCTCATTTTTTATGTACTAAAAACATTGGAGACCGATGATGATAAACCACTCAGGTGGCAGTGGGGACCAAAAATTTTTCTATAATGAAATCTGGGACCGAAAATTCCGGGACCAAAATTCCTTTATAGTGAAAACTGGGATCAATAACTCCCTAACTGAAAATTTCTGGAACAAAAACTCCTAGATTTAATCGAAATTGATTACCACTTTTATTAATTTTAACTTTATTTTATCATTTTACTTTATCGATAGTTCATTTTTTCGATTGAATGAATAGCAGCGTTTACATTATTATTTTGATTTTAAATTTTCTCAATTCTGTGGGCGCGACAATATGTCCGCATTGTTTTAAGGATTTTAAGTACGTTAACAGACACACCTGGTGCTGTACAGCTGTACATTTAAACTCAAACTTAAATTTATCGCCTAGCAGTAATATTATTTCTCCAAAATTACTGTCAAGCAATATTAATATATTACCGGATAATTTAAGTAACTTGTTGTGGTAAATCTTGCAAAGGTCGGAAAGGACTAAGAATGCATCAGAGATCTTGTAAAACGTTTAAATCTCTCAAGTCCGCAACTCATGAGGTTGGAGGAAACGCCCGTGACGACACTGGTCAAGCGCCATTTCAACACACGCCAGCAACTCAAGCAATCAAAGTTCCGAAACCGCTACTACCGGATAAAACTGCCAAAGCCGTCAGCTCAGTAGTCCAAAGCCAACGCATTTTTTCAATCAGAATTAAAATGTCTAGACGATGTCACAGATATTGACAGTTTTGCTAACAGGTTTCAAAATTTAATCAACAACTATTTTGCTGCCAATTGCGGCGTCAAAAAGAAAAAATCAATACCTGAATAATTTTAAATTATTTATTATAATTTTTATGTATGTTTTATTGAAAAATAAAAGGATGTTTCCATTATTATACAAATCAGCTCGGGCCGAGCTCTTTAATAATAATAATAATGTCATTTATGAGCGCCCTATGCATAGCGTCAGAGGCGCTCGGATAAACAAACGTCAGCACGGCCACCAAAGTTGGTGCTTCAATCGCTTCTTAAACATTTCTATTGATGATTGTTGACGGATGATGAGTGGCAAACTGTTCCATATTGATTGTGAGCAATGAGAAAAGCCTTTATTGACGAGAGTTGAGGTATTGACTGGTTGATGCAGTTGCAATGAAGACGGCAGACGAAGGTGATGGCGATGATTAACAGACGAGCGAAGGCGAATGAGTTTGTGAAGATATGATGGTTGAGATGTGTTGAGTATTTTATATGTGATGACAGCAATTTTATACTTAATGCGTTGATAAATCGGCAGCCAGTGCTTGTGAGCAAGAGATGTTGAACTAGAAAATAAACGAGGTAATTCTAAAACAAGTTTTGCTAATCTGTTTTGAATGATCTGAAGAAAGGAAATTAGATACGGCTGGGTGCCATATAACAGACAGTTGCAGTAGTCAAAGCGAGATAATACAAAGCAGCGTGCTAGCGTGGAGACCATTTCGACTGTGAGAAAAGGTCGAATATGGCGAACAGACCAAATAATGTAATTACATATTTTGATGAAAGCAAAAGTGTGAGCTTTGAAAGTTTGAAACTCCATTTTTAGCCTTTCTAGGAGTATTTGATGATTAATCGTGTCAAAGGCCGCAGATAGGTCCAGACAGATCCTAGCAGCACAGCTCCGGTTACCACAAATGTTAATGGAGAAGTACAGTGTCAGTGGAGAAGCCAGGACGATGGCAGACTGAAAAGGTAGAAAATTTGAAGAAGAGGTGACTTGTGTAAGGATTCTGTTTAAAAGCAAATCAAGATTTATAAAACTCGAAAATTTAAACAAAAATAGACATAAATAAAAAGAAAAAATAAAATTAACCAAATAATCATCACGTATGTATCAATTAATTGATTAATTATTATTATTATTACTAATATTATTATTAATATCATAATTTTTGTTATTGTTGTTGTTGTTATTGATGTTGTTAATATATTTTCTATATTATATTTTCTATATTATATTATTATTATTACTAATATTATTATTAATATCATAATTTTTGTTATTGTTGTTGTTGTTATTGATGTTGTTAATATATTTTCTATTATTTTATGTTACATTAAATTATTATAATATTAATTATTATTGTTATTATTATTCAAAATGAAGCAAACAAATAATAAAATATAAATCGCTAGAAAAAACTTTGAAACTAAAAATAAAAACGACATTACCAGCCAACTAAAACACAAATTCTGGACAACTTGTAAAAAAAATGTTTCTAGCACCAAATAATGTTCAACCTCCATTTGAAATCGTGGGTTGCCAAAGCTATTTCAAAAATAAGTTAAATGAACTGCATCAATACAACTACTGCCTTAAAATTTAAAATTTTTTTAAACTCAATTTAACGCCAGTTCTCCGTCATACAATGAAATTATAACAATAATTAGAAATGCAGATAAAAGCATCTATTTGCCCTATAGATATAAATTTCAATTATTAATATTAAAAAAACGTCTTATTCTTTGTACAACACTCCATCAATTGCTGGTCGAGTACTGGAGGTCGTCTACAATTCCCAAATGTTGGAAAAAGGCCCTCACCGAATTAATCTACAAGAAACTTTCGAACAGTTTTAACCAGTTCTTTACAAAATCTCCTCGACATTCATCAATAATCGATTATACAGGTATTTTAGAAATAAACAACCTCATCAACGCAACAACTCAAAAAGGTCTTTTTCAAAAAATTGAGTGCGTTGCTGAAAGGCGCTAAAAACCATCAAATAACAATTGTCGTCAGACTTCTAGACATACGAAACGCATTTGGTGAGGTTAGTAATGTTCTTATCCTGTCAACTCCGAGGTATCCTCAAGTTCCAGCACAAGTGAGTGATGTGATCAAATCAATTTACGAAGATTATTCGATAACAGTGTCAGCATACGACAAACTGACGCCGCTCATTCCGAAAGGACGTAAAGTGCTTCAGGGCGACTTTTCCTCTCTATTGTTATTCAACCTTTGTTTGAACCCATTAATGAATGTAATATAAAATAAAGAGTACCAACAATGCGGTTATCTGAGGAGGAAATATGATTTTGAATGTAAAAATACGGAAGTTAAAATCATGCTGCTGACAGTTGACAAACTATACACCACTGCGCAACGGAAGCTCCAGATCATGAAATACTTTATTTCGTTTAAATTCTCGTTTGATATGAGAATATATATTTTCTTGACGTGGATCGAAAAAAGCCTTGATGCGATGGTAACAGAAACAGCGAAAGGCAAGCTTTTACTGGCTACGAACAGCTCTATGGCAGAAGTTCTGTCATTGCTCTATGAAACCGAAGCCTCAACAACCGATCGCTGAAAAGCAAGCTGAATTTCTTTTAAAATGAAGCTGCATGGTGGTCTAACATTTTATCGAAATAATGAAATGAAATGTTTATGGAATGAATCATCCAACTGTTTTAAAGGAATCGACAGCAATATCCAAAGTGATGATCTGCAGCGCGCATTTAAAATCTGTAATGAAAATCTGCAAGGTCCTTCGTCTTCACCCATTTTTTCGAGCTACATTGACTGCCAGACCGATAATTATTGTCAACAAATTTTTTTATAATTTATTGTTATACACTAATAAAAATTTATAAACCAAAAATGGGTGAGTCCGTGTTCTATTTATTTTATTATAAATATTTTTAATTAACGTAACTAACCTAATGATAAACTTGTATAAGTCAGCAATTTAAATCGTCACCATTTTGTAGCTTATTTAACAATAATTGAGTTTATAATTGAGCATCAAACCAGTGATCCGTTAGTTCCCTAACTTCATATGTGTATGCAATGTTCGACGCCCTAACTGCATCACAATAACGTAAAATTCTACATGATATGTGTAGAAACAACATGGCACAACAATCTACACAACATAGTCTAGAACACACGCAATCTACATAATAATGTATTGAATATCATTATGATAAAATAAAATTTATTAAATTGTTTTCAAATTGACAAGCCCAATAAATTAAAAGTATTATGAAATTCTAATGCAGAAATTCGATAGTTTTTATTTCTTGCTAGTTTTTGTAATCGTACTTCAGTAAATAACAGAAAAAAAAATCTGCAGTGGCTGATACAGAATTTCATGAAGGGCGGTGAGTGATTTAGAAAAATTCCAAAATTGATGACATTTCAAATTTTTTTTTTGCGTAATTTAACTTAAAAAATACTATTTTTTGGCGTAATCATTTGCCAGAATTTTACAATGTTCTTCCATGTTCTGGGAGGGATTCATCCCCGCATTTCCTGGACCCGCCACTGAAACTGCATATAGACATGCAGTTTCAATGTTCAGTTAGATAATGAAAAGTAATTATTGCTACATTATTGGATTTTAATTCAATGCAGTCTTCAAAACCGAAGTTCGCTTCATCATTTCATTTGCAGACCTTACACTGCTTGTTGCCGTTAAAATTTTAAAGTTTTATACAAAAATTTTTATTTTCTCATTAGAATTGATTATAAAACAGTACAAAAAATTTTGTAATTATTAAGTACAAACAATTCCATCTTCATGGATGCATGAATAGAAATGTTCTGCAAATACATTCAGGCAAACAGGTTGAATTATTTTCATTTATTACGTCGAAAATTATTTTAGTATATTTAATTAAATTAATGAACAAATTAATGTATATGGATAAATTATTTTTTAATAGGCACAAATGACATTAAAACTTTTGCAAATCAAAGAACGGGGTCATTTGACCCATTTGGCTGTTATATGAATACAGATTTTTCAGCTGTTCTAGTGTTAAAAATCAATCAAGTATAAACAAACTAGTTTTTATAAAAAATACATTCAAAGTCATAAACATATTAAAACTTAATTGCATTGGAAATATTAATTAATGTCGTTGTTATTGTTAATATTATTTTTAATAAAATTCATTTAGAAAACAAAAACATAAAGAATGCACAGTGTTACAAATTAATACACTTCTTCAACCAATGATAGATCCGCTTACAATTATTTATGGGTCTCCTTGTGGCGACGCAAAGAAATGGCTTGATTGAAATGCTTACCACACACACCACAACTGTAAGGCTTTTCACCGGTATGTATCCTTATGTGTTTATTTAATGTAGAAGAGTCAATGAACGATTTGCCACATACATCACATTTATATGGTTTTTCTCCAGTATGGGCCCTTATGTGTTGTTTTAAATCATGAATCCTGACGAACGATTTATCGCACGTATCGCATATGTATGGTTTCACTTCGGAGTGGAATTTTTTATGCCTCGTTAAGTAAGCCTTACATGAGAAGGATTTGTTGCAAACATCACACTGAAATTTTTGGTCGACCTTCGTTTGGTCGTAGTATTTCTCAACTCCAATATTCAATGTTTTGTTAGAACCTTTATTCTTCCCATCATCTTTAATTTTTATTTCATTTTTTTTGTTTGCTACATTATCAATTTTTACTGCCTCATCTTTCTGTGTCTGCTGAATTTTTTTCACCGGGTTCTTATCTATTTTTTGTGTTTGGGTCCTTCGGTTAACAAACCAGTCTTTAATCTGGCGACTAGTCAGGCCGGTTTTACGCGCAATTCGATGCTTATCTAAGTGATCGACATGATTATTTTGACTGAATTCGCGCTCCAAGACTTCACGTACTTTATCACTGAAACGTGAGCGTTTCTTAAATATCTTTTCTTTGACGTCATCAAGTGTAGGAACTATAGCTTGATTATCACAATTGATCACAGCGCTTCTGTCAAATAACTTGAGTTTCTTAATTTTGGCCCTTCGATTCTGAAACCAGAATTTAATCTGACGATTACTCAAGCCGGTTTCGCATGCAATTCGGTCTCTATCTCTGACATTGATATACTTTTTTTGATTAAATTCTCTTTCCAAAACTTCACGTATTTCATTCCTGTTACATTTACGGTGAAAATCATCAGTACGAATAACACATTCTTCATTCTTATTCTCTATTTTACTATCTTTTGAATCATTTAACATAACCACCGGAACATTTTTGTCGCTGAGTTTGAGTATGTGATCGACATAATCTTTTTGACTGAATTCGCTTTCCAAATCTTCATCAGTTTGAATGAAATATTTCTCGTTTGTCTTCATTAGTTGTTGCGTTGGTTGTTTCAGTAGATTTGGAACATCAAGCAGTTGTTCCATTGGTGGAACTATGATTATGGGCTCTGGTGTAAGTTTCGGTAAAGTAATTGCCGAGGTCGAAAGTGCCGGACAGATGACGTCAGACTGGGTAGAAAACGCAAGCTGATTATCATATTTTATCCCAATTCTGTCAAATGTCTCGTTACTCTTGAAACTCTGTTTGGATGACGTGGAAAATTCGTAACTGATCTGTTCTCCTTCGCCAGATAGCTTCATATTTTTCAACTTTGGATCGAAAAGTGACGTTTTGTTTTCCAAATTTGAATGCCAGGGTAACGAGTAGTTGTGTTCAAAATTAATCTGGTATAACTTTTCTAACGACATTATCTTAAAATAAATAGTGAGCTTAACGATATTAAAAATAAATTTATTACCTTAAAAATACCTTGAAAACCGTGGGTGTGTAATCAAGACAGGAAACTTTCGAATCAATGACAAAAGACTTTATACGATGTCTTATATACACTCCAAACCAAAGATTCTAGATTACTCTCTTGGTATTGGTTGATAGCTAATAATCTTATTCTATTAACTATGGACAGTAAATTAATCAAAATCTATTAATTGTAAATTTATCAGTTTACAATGTTAAAAAAATTATGCAAATAGTGGTTTGAAATTGTTGTACAATAATTAACTTTAATTATAATTTAAATTTTTACATGATAAATCTGTCAATAAATTCATCATTTCGATGTTTTAACATCTTTGCTTGTATTTTACAGTCTTTGCCAGTGCTAATGTTGTAAAGTTTTAATGAACTTTGTGTAGCTTTTCTTTTTTTTTATCTTTTCTTATTGTACAATTCTGTCAAAGAAATTGTCATAAATGAATCATTATTTCATTCTTTAATAAACATATTACTTACCTTAGCTATTTTAATTTGTGATAATGGAAGCTTCTACAATTTTTAATTTGGTTATAATCAAAATTACAAAAAAAATATAAAATAGAATTTTTTTAAATTTATCGTTCATAAATTCACTTGACTAAGACTTGTCACACACCTAAATACGCGTAAAGCAAAGTTCCACTTAGATCGCTGGTTTCGTCGTAACGAAGAAAGTATAAACCTATTTTGGTTATTTACTTGTCTCTACGTGTGAATGTTTAATATTTAATATATGTAATATTTTTCTTCAATCGATCAGCTAGAGTTTAGTCAACTTTTCTAATTAAATATTATTTTTCGATTCATTCTCGAAGTTGTCGGTAACAACATAACAGCGCATTAATCCACGCATCGCATCACGTGATAAGTTTGGGACTATTTGCATTCAAACCGCACGCTACTGTAATTTAGTGTTTTTCATTAATTCTCAGAAGTATCAAAAACAACAATACGAGCATCACACACGGAAATGCTATTGTTCAAAGCAATTTTGAACGCAAACATCGCTCACAATACGCGAGGATCTCTTTGCGTTCGAACCCTTTGATTGTTACATCTTGTCTCCATACTTGAAGTGCAGTATACAAAGTTTTATTCCTCTCAATACTGAGAAGGAAAATTATGATGATTGTTCTGTAGCTAATGAGACAGAAACACAGACACACATACATAAATATGCACACACACACACACACACATACATAAATACATACATACATACATAAATATATACACATACAGAGAGCATTGCTAAAAAAGACGACTGACCAGACCAATTCCTGATGTCTGGAGACGTTGGGCCGCTAAATGCGAACTACTTTTAGTTATTAAAGAAAAAAACTGCCCCAATACTCCAACAGCAATAGTTTGGTGTAGAAATTAATGGTTACACAGAGGAAGCGATACACGCTATCCGTCGTTTTGGGAGTAACATGGGTGAAAGCAAAGGTTTTGTGAAATTAGATTTTACAAACGCTTTTAGCTAATTGCATCGCGATCATTTGTTCAATTGCGTGCAGTCTCGCCTCCCAAAAATTTATAATTTTTGCTGGTTGACTTATGATGCCAATTCTTTCTTACAATATTGTTTTATCGGCTAAGGGTGTGCAACAAGGTGATCCATCAGGTCTTTTCTTTTCGCATTTTCAATTGATCCTCTTCTTAAATCATTCCGTTTTAGGTTTGTTGTAGCTTATTGAATGAGATCACACTCGGTGAATGTAACAGAAGTTCATCCAATGACATAGAATTTATTAATAACAATTGACTTAAGCTAAATATAAATAGATGGGGAGATAGAATTCAAATTTGATTATTTGTTGTTTTTGTTAGTAGCTAGTTTAAAATGAAGTTTATGCATAAATCGTTTGTTTCAAATGTTTTAAAAATGTGTTGATCACATCTCAGTGGCAACGTTCCAGTTAAGCATACTGAATTTCAAAGAAACTCCAGTTGGGACTGGAACTCAAATAGCTCAGGTTGTACCCGTTAATATGTTTGTTCAACTCGCATGTTGCATCAGTTGAATGGAAGTTGAACGAGTCACATTTATCTGGAATGCACTTCAACAAGCAGATCATCTCATATTTGGCGGTCATGACAAGAGAGTTGTTTCCAGTCAATCTCATGTTGGTGTAACCTTTCCAAATTTTAGCTGCAAAAATATTGACTCAATATAAATAAATTTATTTAAAATAAATTGAAAAAAATGTAACAGTTGAGATTCTTAGCAGCGTAAACTTCCATCTCACAAGAGGAGAACCATCCATACCCATCGGCAGGTTGTTGAGCGATGACGTAACGATAAGGTGCAAGTTTGGCGTTGCACTTCAATGTCAGCCTGGCACTGGCGACCGCCTTGTACTTGTACTGACCGCAGAGAGGGTAGGTCCCTCTGATGATGTTTGATCCAGGTGATGAAGAGGTGAGTCCAATCAGGAAGTAGTCCAGTGGGGGAGCTGCAGTTGAAATTATAGATTGTTATTACTCAACTTTTTGAAATAATTCAAATTTAAAAATTTAAATTAAAAGATTTATATATCTACAAACGATGTCAAGTTAACTAGTTTTTTTTATTTGTTTCATAGATATAAAATGTTGCTTATTTGAGAATTTATGGTTGTAACAGCTTCCAGCAAAACTATTTTATAATGTTTTTTAACTAACGTAACAAGATAGAATTTAATTAGTTTCACCTAACTCATTTTATCATTAAAAATTATTTATAATCTTTTATTTATATTCTTATACAAACAAACATATTGATCAAATTGCGCAATATTGTTTGTTATCGTAATTATTGGCATCTTCGCTGTTTGTAATTTTTAAATTTTTTAATATAGTTACTTAAATTAGTTTGATGTTTCAATCACTGTTGGTACACAAATAAACGTTTAACAAAGTTTGCGTTTGAAGCAGTTGTGTTTATCTATTAAAAGTTTTGAACCTACGGAATAACGAACAGTTGACGATCGTTGGAAGCTACAACACTGTTGTTGAAATATAGAGATCATTTCAGTAATAACATTGGTGTTTGTAGTTACGAGAGTCAAGGGTTATAACATTGGTGTCAGAAGTAAGATTTTTGATAGATTGAAAATTTTCTGCAATTAAAAATGCCGTAAATTGAAAAACTCGATACAACTAATCTGAAGAAATAACTGCAAAAACAAAACCTCGACTCGAATAAGCGAAGGCGGATCAGGTAAACCGCTTAAGGGACGCTCTAATAAAAGAAGAAATCAATCCTAATGGGTTTGAATTTTCGAATCTTTTGTTTGATGAAATTAATAAAAAATTCGATCAACATACCGCCGATATGAACAGAAAATTCGATCAACGAAAAGACAAAATTGAAAAAAAATCTCGCCCAAATTAATAAAAGATTCAATCAACAGGCAACCGAATCAAAAGAAATGGCAGTCGCGATGAAATTACAGGCAACCAAATGTCAGAGATGCTAAACTGACTAAACGACAAGATAGAATAACAGTCAATAAGTCTTTAAGGTGGAATTGAAAATAGAGATCGATATAGAGAGATAAAAGACATAAAATAGACCAGAAAACGGATAAACTAAACTAAAAAATTAACAAATTAGAATGAAAGCACCGGCAAGAAATAGAAACAAAAAAAAGAAGCACCAAACAGGAGTACGCCAAGTTAATAAAAACACCAACATTTGAGCTATCAGACTCAGTTTGAAGCGGCAGCACTCAGCTACGGGTGGAGCGCAAGAGAACGAGCAACGGCATTGGTGTTAGCCCATAGAGGATTTGCTTTGGAGGTATTACAATCTATTCCTGCCAAGGACGGTGACAACTTCAAAATTCCAATCCATTATCCAAAAAATGTTTCATAATATGGTCTTTAATTATGGATTCTAAAAACTTGCAGCAGACTGAGGTTAAGGAAACCGGCCGATGGTTATCTACCAGAACCTTACGGCGTTTCTTATATTAAGGAAAATTATGGCTAGACTTCCAATTGTCCGTAATAATACCTTCATTGACTGAGCGATTAAATAATTTGCTCAAGTGAGGAGAAATAGACTTTTTTAGTTCCCACAGTACCCGGTGATGTATGTCATCAGGTCCTGGTGGTTTGCTAAAATTTAATTATTTAATATAGTTAAAACCATATCTTCATTTATTATTAAATCCTTCATTTTGAAAAAAACTTCAAAATTGACTGAAGAGGTTTGAACATCAAAAAATGTGTCCTCGCTGTAAACAGACAAAAAAAAATCTGCAAAAGGTTCAACATCAGTAATGACTTGACTGGTCCAACAACCTCATCATATCTGGTAAATTTTTTACGTGATTCCTAAACAATTTAGGATTGATTTTATAATCACAAGCAATTTTTTCCTGTGCCTGCACTTTCAACAACTTTGTACATTTTTAAATTTTATTTCTGATTGTCCGATATTTCTAGATTTTATTTTCACCATGCCTATAAATCAACCTCCAAAATATAGGTTCTTGTTTGATCAATTTTTATAAATCAGTTGTCATGATACAATTTGTTTATACTGGCCAAAATTTGGTCAATATATATATATATATATTATTATGAAAAAAAAGTATATATATATATATATATATATATATATATATATATATATTTATATGCAATTATTGATGAACATCACAGCATGTTCGGTGTTAGTTAACTTCCTGCTTAACTTTTTGATTTTTCTAACTGTTGATCGTAAATTATTCTCAAGTTTCTTGAGTTATAAATCCAAATTTTTAATTTATTTTATACATGGTAGAACAAAAAAGTTTTTTTCGTATTCCTATACCATTATTAGAGTTCGAATTGATACGTTTTTTTATGTAGCAAGATGTTCAAATATATATATATATATATATATATATATATATATATATATATATATATATATATATATATATATATATATATATATATATATATATAT